GAGGAGCGTGTGTTGAGTAAATCTTGCCCGAATAAGATGGTTTCTAAGTCTCATCCCCACCCACTTATTCAACAGAGAAGCATCATATATTTACTGTGCACTGGAGAGAGAGCAGAGAACAAAGCAAAATCCGTCTCAAAGATACTTCATCCTGGGCGGGGAAGACAGATGATAAACAGGATGGATTAACAAATGAATTCTCTAAGGCGGAGACGAACAAAATAGCCAATGCTGTAGGGAGAGAAATTAAAGCGAGGGATGGTGACAGTGGTAGGGAAGGGTTTGCAATATTAGAGTCATTGGGAAGGCTCTTTGAGAAGGTAACAGCTGAGCAAAGATCTAAGGGAATTAGGGGAGCAGGAATGTTGTAGACACGACGATCAGCAAGTGCAAAGGCCCAGCATGGCAGTGAGCCTGGCTTCTGTAGAGGAGACTGCAGCAGCGGCAGGCACGGGGAGGGAGCTCTTGTGGGGCCAGGGTGAGAACAGAAGAGTCAGATAGGCATGGGGCATGGAGGAGTGAGGATGGCTCAGGGTTCTGGCCTAACCAGCTGGAGTGATGACAGCTGCCATGAACAGGCCAGGGACACCACAGAAGGGATTGGGTTTGGGCGGCAGGTGAGGAGTTTGTGGATGAGTTTGAGCTGTTCATTAGACACCATGTGGAATTGCTGAGTAAGCTGTAATTGCAGTGAGTTCTTTGGGAGAATGTGGGAGCTGTCACACGTGGATGTCATTGACACCTGGGATCAGGTGAGACCACCACGGGAGCTAATCAGGTGGAGGAGCACTCTGAGCACTGAGCCCATGGTCCCGCAGTGCTCAATAGGGAGGCCAGGAGGTGGCAGGCCAGACCGGGAAGGAGCAGTGAGGGGGAGGGGGAGACCCTGTCACCCTTGACATCAGAGGAACAGGCGAGAGCACCACCCAGGCACTACCTGCAAAGCACACTTGGAACAGGACTGAGAATTGGTCATCGGTGACCTGGACAGAGGCTGTGTCTGCGTACGGTGAACCCTCCTCCGATCTTTGTAAACCAACGGGAGTGGTAACTTGTCCTTTTTTCCAGTTTTCGGCCCGCTCCATTCTTTGTTCTGGATGAAGTGGATGCAGCCCTGGACAACACTAACATTGGCAAAGTAAGTTTCTTTCTGCTTTTAATTCCCCACAGAATGCCTGTGATTCAGTGTACCTGAGCAAAAATTGTTTAACTGTTGGTTAAAAATCAAATCTAAATTCAATATCTACAGACAAGAGAGTTTCATTCAAGGCCTCGGGGAGCCTCAGAGTTCTTGGGGAGTCTGCATGGAGTCGAGAGAAGATTACGGTGCTGGCCTCTCTCCTGATCTAGAGGTCGGGACATGAGGGTCACTAACAGACGCCGTGGCAAACAGAACCAATTTAGTTGTTTAATAAAAGTCCCAAACCTGCTGAAACGGTTGTGGCTCAGTGGATAGAGCGTCGGCCTGCGGACTGAAGGGTCCCGGGTTCAATTCCAGTCAAGGGCATGTACCTTGGTTGCAGGCACATCCCCAGTGGGGGGGGATGCAGGAGGCAGCTGATCGATAATTCTCTCTCGTCAATGTTTTGGGGGTTTTATTTTATTTTTTTTAAATATATTTTTTATTGATTTTGTACAGAGAGGAAGAGAGATAGTTAGAAACATCGATGAGAGAGAGTCATTGATCAGCTGCCTCCTGCACACCCGCCACTGGGGATATACCCGCAACCAAGGCACATGCCCTTGACCGGAATCAAACCCGGGACCTTTCAGTCCCCAAGCTGACGCTCTATCCATTGAGCCAAATCAGTTTCGGCCTCGCCGATGTTTCTGGCTCTTTGTTCCTCTCTCTTCCTCTCTATGAAAAAAGTCAATAAAATATATTAAAAAAAAAAAAAAAAAAGTCCCAAACCAACGTCTCTAACTAAAATTCCAGAGGAATTGAAGTTTAAACTGTGCTCCTCCCATGTACTTCCTAACCTTTGTCCAGCGGCTGCCCTTGTGCAGGGTCCTGTTGTCAGTGTTTAGACAATGAGGGGACGAAGGAACAGCCAGCTCCTGGGAGTCAGTCTCAGGTCCGCCTAGAAGATCGGTGCATAGACACAGCCATGGGAAGAGGCTCTCGGCCACACATCCTGACTTTTTGACATGAGAATGGTTCAGCCGGGAAGCACGGCCACAGGACAGAGGCACAAGCTGCAGCACCCATCACTCCCTGGGGGGCGGGGGTGGTCTCTGGCCTGCAGACGCCTTCTTGCAGAGAAAACCCACTCTTGAGCCTGGGTGAACGGTACTCCTGCTTCCGATCCCAGCACCTCTTCCTCCAGAAACACTGGGCTTTGCTTTACGGCTCTGACTGACCAGAGGCTGCCCTGGCCCTGCCGTCCCATGAGTTTCTCATCAGTAACTGGCAAACTGGCGTCTTGGTCCACACCTGAGTCTTGTGAGCTTGAGTAATGAGCCCCCCTTTGCGAGGTGCATTTGATCCTGGGGTGCTATTCGGGTTGAGTCTGGAGCTGACCTCCGACTTCTCCGAGTCTCTGTGAAAGGCTTGGGAGTGGGACTTTCAGGAGCTGCAGCCTGAGGCCCCTGAATGGCATGAGGTTGTCTCAGCATTTCCCAAGGGGCACTCGTCTCACCCATCTCTGGGAGCTTGCTCTCTGAGCACATCACCGTGGACAGCACAGCCTCAGCCCCACAAACTGGCCCCTGAACCTGGTAGAGGACAGGCAGGCGCCACATTCTGTGACCTGCCAGACTTCGGATAGAATGCTTGGGACAAAACACCCTCAATGCCAACCAGCCTGCCTCGACTACCTGGACCCCGGGCCGGACTCATAAGAAAAACTGCCCCTTTGGTGAACTTGGGCACCTCGTATCCCCTGCTCTTTGTTTCAGGGGAGGGAAGGAAGGGGCAGTTTATTTTGGTGCACTGCATCTTCTCAGTGGCATTTAGCATGTCCATATCTTCTGGCAAACGTATCGACAGATGTATTCATGGCATCTCAGGCTCTGAGCAGGTGCTCGCTAAGGCCACTTCTGTGCAGACGGTTCTGTTCTCAGTCCTGGGCAGTGGCCTTCCTGAAGACGACCTCCAACCTGACGACTGAGTTACGAATGCATGTCATTGCCATCGTCCCCCCCCCTTCAGGCTCTGAGTTGGCAAAACAGGAAGTTGGAAGTTTAAATACCACCCTCATAAAATATCTGAGTGATAGTTTTATACTGTTATAAAGACTGTTTATACCACATTGTAGATAAGGTCGAGTTTTATCCTTAAAAATATCCTTCAAGTTTTAGATCATAGATTTAATGAGGTACCTTTCCTAACCTCTTATTTTAGAATCTGAGCTATTTCTGTGGTTGTAGTGGGTTTACCAAGTTCCCAGGGAGCTAGTAAGTGCCCGTCACCTAAAAGGGCAAACAGCTTGCAGGATCACTCCCCAGGCTCAGGAACTAGGCCTGTCACCCGAGGCCTGTCTTGGGGTGACGTGTGCTGTTTACTTCCTCCCAGGTAGCAAGTTACATCAAAGAGCAAACTCAAGAGCAGTTTCAGATGATCGTCATCTCCCTGAAGGAGGAGTTCTACGCCAAGGCTGACGCCCTTATCGGCATCTACCCAGAGGTAACGCACACCCCGTCCGTCTCTCCTGGGACGAGCTGCTGCGGGAGTGCTCAGGCTCACATTGTTGTTTAAGGAAATAAGACTTAAAAGTAACTACTCAGGGGTTTTTCTGTGACGGTACAAAGAGATTTAAGATCAGAAAAAGCAAATGGAAAATTACAGAATTTTCTTTATAAAGTAGTACATATTTACACAGAGTAAGCTGTACTATTGTATTATTTCTGTAATGTTGGAAGGTTCTAGGCAAAAGCAAATGCACGTGGTAGAACTAACAAGGAACCATTCATCTTCCAAAAGTACCAGCGGGAAGAAACAAAGAAATTGACTGAAAGTTCCCAGTTGTACAGTAACTTTTAGAAAGTGAACAATCTTTCTTAAGCCATTCAAACACACGAGGTAACGGAGTATTCCTGGTCATTCCACTTCTAGACATGAGTTGCTAAGATAAAAGTAGTTTCCCTTCCTGTGCCTGCAGATTGTTGGGGGAGGGACCCCTGGAAACGGGCTGCAGCAAGCAGTGAACTCTCTCGCGGTGTGAGGGAAACCATCTGAATGTCCTCGGGGCTCTGGCGGGGCCTGTGAGTCAGACTGGCCTCGTGGCTGAGGAGCCAAAGGGTGGCTAGCACTTGGCTCCTCTCCAGTCTTAGGCTGGCCTGAGGAAAGGGGGGGGGGGGGGCGCCTAGGTGGAAGGTGACCTGGAAAGTGTGCGAACAAACCAGGTTTGCTCTGCAGATCACACAGGTGCCTTTCGTTAAGAGCAGGGAAGGATGAATGCAAAAAGGAAGACTTGTGGCCAGTGCTGAGAGCTTTTCCTGCATCTCAGTAGCTCACAGTCCATATGCCACAGCCATGCTTTGGGGGGCACATCCTGATACCCTGTACCAGGTATTACAGAGAATCAGCTAAGAAAGCTGATGTAAATGCAACCATTGATAGCTTCTGAGGTGGCCCTAAGTTTCCTTTTAAATGCAAATCCAGATTCACTCCTGGCTCTTGTTTTAGGCTTAATAGCACTTTTTTTCTACATAGAAGGACTAACTTCTGACTGTCTGCTCTCCATTTCAGCAAGATGACTACATGTTCAGCCGAGTTCTGACTTTAGATCTTTCTCAGTATCCCGACACGGAAGGCGAAGAAGGCAGCAGGAGACAGCGCGAGGCCCGCTAGGGTCCGTGCCAGCGTGGCTGTAGGTTCTCAGAGCGGATCGTTAGCTGTGGTCAGGGCACCACGCTCAGTTCTCTCTCATGTTCAAACTGTTGAGTGACCACCTTCTGGAGCCAGCCAGCCTGGGTGCCGTCTGAGAACGCTGGCCGCTCACTGCCGGGAGGGGTGTTTGGGAAGGTTTCCTGGGAGAGTTAGCTTTGAACAATTTTTAAAAAGGTACAGTTTTGTTTCCATAGTTTCAAGTTCCATTTTGAAACCCAGCCAGAAATACGTTGAATTCTACATCCTCTTTCCTCTGGTCTTGCCTTGTCCATTTAAGGAACATTTAAATGACAGTCTTGATTTCTGAATTGCTAATTGTAAGGTGCTGAACCTTGGTTTTGAGAAATTATTTCAGAGGAAATTTTGTCAGTATGAAAATATCAATAAAAATATTCTAATTTCAAATGTTTCCAATTTACAGTTTTATAAACCAAAAAAGTTTAAGGTGAAAAGGAATGTCTGCTTCAATGCAATCTGCATTTTCCTAAATGTCATTTCTGTTAAGAAGGAAACAAACAACGGGCTTTCCACTTCAGAGCCTTGTTCCGGGCGGGACAGAAGGTGCAGCGTTGTCAGCAGGCCTATTTCCATCGCAGGACGGAACAGCGCGTGTGGAGGGGCTGCTGGCCTGGTGGCCCAGTGGCACCGAGGAGCAGCTCCGGATGTAGCGGACTCGCCCCCGAGCTGCACTCACAGCGCAGGTAAACGGGCGCTGCACCATAAGTCCCAGCCTCGCTCCCTGCTCAGAGGCCGCTCAGTCTCCCTGGTTCCTTGTTTCCGTGCCGGCAGTCTCACCTCAATCTCTGACTTCCCCTCCTTGAAAGACATTGGCTTAACACTGGAATGTCCCCTCAGTGCCACCTGACCTGTCCCTTCCTCTTCCCGGCTGCCTGTTCTCTCAGGACTCGGACTCAAGGCAGTCCTAAGGCAGCTTCCTCGCGTTCCTGAAACCACCTCTGTGCAAACCACAAGCAACAGGAACCAGTTGGAACGCCACACTCCAAAAACAAAGCAGGAACCTGATAACAATAACAGCTGGTTTACACTCATCACCCCGTTAAGAACTACACAGACGTTACAGCACATGTGGCACTTATCTTGAAAATGCCCAGAAGTCGGCTTGTGTAGTGGGCGGCGCCGGGCCCAGGGGTGGAGGGGGTCTGAGGGCGCTGGCAGTGCCGGGCTGCGGGCCCAAGGTGTCTGTTGGTCGGTGCAGCTGTCCCACTGGGCACAGCTCGCCTACTTCACTAGCAGGTCAGCAACCTCTTTATGGCGGAGACAGTAGTTCAGGCTTTGGTGAGGCAGCACAGAGGCTATTGTGTAGGTGCCCGTATAACCACTTAAAATACCATTTAAAAACGTCAGAGCATTGCAGCTGCAGTAACAACGGCCAGGATGTCCCCGACCTGGTTTCTCAGGGACAGAGCGTTATGCATATCAGGTGTGCTCGAACTGTTCCCCACTCCTGTCACGCTGCTTTCAGTCTGCATCTTAAACAAGCGCGGGGCTGACTACAGACTGCTCGCTCCTCACAGCAAGGCCTCCGCCCGGCGTGGCACTCAGCAGCGCTCGGAGCTGGTCCTGAGCAGCCTGCTACGCTTTCCCGGCTTCCCTCCCCGTCACTCTCCTGCTGTGACGTGGCCACACTGCTGCCCAGCCTTCACACACATCCGTCCCTGATCGCACACTGTGAGTCCTTAAAAACTGTCTGCTGTTCAAACACTGAACACGTTCAAGTGCTCACTGGATTTCACAGTTGAGTGGCAACTCACGGTAAGAATTCTCAGAAATAAAACAAGCCTCATCATCACAGAGAAAGACTGAGCATGCAGAGCTGCAGTTCAAACTTCACGGCCAGAGGAGCATAAACGATTGGTTTCCTGCTTGGAGAGCAGACAGGTCTGAAGCAGGTGCAGCTTCTGCCCACACCTCCCACCTGACGCTTCTAGTTCCCGGTGCCTGCGGGAGCTCCAGCGCCATCCATGGGGAGTGTCATGGTGCTTGGCGAGACATCACATGAAAGTAGGCAGCCGCTAAAACACACCACAGAGCAGCCACCCACCACGCCCTCTGCCTGCCTGCCTGCCTGACGCTGTGCCCATCACGTGCCATGGCGGAAAATGCTGGGAGGGGAGACTTGGAAAGCTTGGGATACTCTAAGTTTAGAACAGCTCTGCTCCACTTTTAACTTCTCATCAGCCTCAAGCCGGGCTTGGACCACCCTGTACAGCACGGTTGACAGGGCCCTCTGCCCTGACGGGCTGCTCAATGGTTAGTGCACCATCCTGTGCACCAGAAGCTTGCAGGTTCAGTCCCTATTAATTGCACTCACAGAAGGCAAACAGCTGTTCTCCCCACCTCCCTCACGCTCTATAAAAAGAGGCCCTCTGGTTCTTCGCGATGATGCTCTAATGCTCAGGGGTAGACCTGCAGTTCTCTGGAACTAAGTCACTGAAACTACTGCGTTCCAAAGAAGCCCTTTGATCCAGTCATTCTGTTAAGACGTCACTCTCACTGGCAGATTCAACACCTCGAATATTCTTTACTATCAAACAACGTAACCAACATACGTTAAAAGTTTCTTCTCTAGTAACATGTTTCCGCATAAAAATTACAAAATTTAAGAGTCTAGTTTCTCACTTTTCTTTGGCAACTACTGTTGCTTGCAGTCTCCACTGTCCCTTTATTAGAACAGCCACCGGACAGGGCGCTGGGGAGCTCCCTCCCGCCACCGGCTGAGGTAGTTGTCCGCCCGTCCTGGCAGCGGGTCCGAGGTGAGCACTTCACCCCGACAGTTAGACACACAATGGGACTCCCCAGCCTCTGGCCGCACCCACAGGTGACAGGACGGCAGCGTGGGGCCGTGTGAGTTCTCGAGCATTCCTCATCCCGGGGCGGCACTGCGGTCACAGAAGGCTGGTTTTCAAGTTGCAGGTTTGGTTGGTTTTAAAGATTTCAAGATGTGTCAGCATCGTCTGTTTAAACAAAGAAAGGAATACAAGATGTGAGGTTCGGCTCGGAAAAGTATTTGCCATCAGATTTCTATTTCAGAAAACTCAGTTTTTCTCAGGTGCTGAGGACTCGGAAAACGCTTCCATCTTGGGGAGCAGTGGCCGCTGTCCGGAAGTGGCTGTGGGTCACGTACCACCAGGGCCCTGGGCTCTGGCGGAGCCGTGGAACCCGCCGGAACCCGCGTGATGGCGCCCCGCCTGCAGGACGGCCAGCAGCGCCGAGATGACGGTGGCCGCACCCCACGCAGGGCGGGGCCCGCTTGCCACGAGACCGAGGCCTGTCGGGCCGAAGCCGCTGGGAGAAGCAGGCGGTGGGCGCTGCGGCCCTGGGAACGGGGTGGCACCAATGCTGGACAGGAAACCTGGACGCCTAAGACGGCGGTCACCCTTGGGTGGTGGGTGGGTGACTGACAGTGTGGGGGGAGGGGTCCCCACACCGCTCTGCGGGTGCCCCGCATGGGACACATGGTACATTCACCTTGTGAGCATTCACTGCTGACTCACATGTTCTCTGCGTGTTTTTCAGCAGCACGCGAATGAGAATGAGCACCAGTGTCTGGAGGGGTCCCCGGGGCGGTGGAGGGACACAGCAGCACCCTGAGGGCGCCCCGGGAAGCCGGTACCTGAGGGCCGGAGCTGTTTGGAAGCTTCGATGCCGTTCTCCTCCAGCTTCCTCTTGGCGCAGTCCTGGCAGCCGCCCCCTGAGAGGAGACGTCTGTTAGAAGCTCCCGGGCACCCTCCAGGCCCGGCCAGGGGCGTCCATGGGCTCCCCGTTTTCAGGAGGCAGTGCTCGGGGAGGAGGAAGCCGCACAACTGTGTCCCTCAGGCACGCAGGGCAGGGGGCCGTGCACACGGGGCTGCCATTCCTGACCCGCTTTCCTTCCTGCATGGAGCCCACCCCTGGCACACCCGCGTCTGGCTGCTGAGCCCAGTGGTAGGGAGGCTGCCCTGTTCCCAGGTCAAACACGTTAAATTGGCCATTTTCTACGAACGCTTAGAGCCTCTCCAGTTAAACTCCGAAGGGGCCAGCGGTGTCCTCGGGCCACATGCCACTACACTGTGCTCCGGGCACAGGGGGCGCTGTCCCCCTTCCCAGAGGCAGCCTGTCCCGCCCCGCTGTGTCCTCTCCGGCCAGTGTCCACCTGAGGCCACGTCTGATTTACAGCTCACGGCGAGAAGACAAGGAACCCTCCTTACCCAGCGTGGTGCTGTCTGCCCGGTCGGCATCTGGAAGAAAGGAAAACGTCAGAAGCCATGCCACGTGCACCCCTCCAGCTGGGGGGATGCGAGGCGGCTGCACGGCTCGGCCATCGCCAGCCCCAGGCCGGTTAGTGTCCTTCCTCCCCATCTCCCTGCGGGGGAGCGGAGGGCCCGGCTGTCACTCCTGTCATCACCGTGTGCCGCCCTCCCTGGCCAGGGAGGCACCGCACCAGCGAGCACAGACCCGGGAGCGCTCTCCAGAGCCGAGTGCGTGCAGCGGTCCTGGTGCCCGGTGCCTGTGCACGGGGAGGCAAGGCGGCGGGCAGGGGCAGAGGTGGCGACCACACCGTCCCTCTCCAGAGCCAGCAGAGCCCTGCTCAGTCCAGGACCCCGTTCCAGCTTCAGAACGCCTGGGCCAGCCAGGCACACGGCTCACTCTGAGCTCGGCCACGGCTCCGGCCAGCTGCCGGCCGCATGGGGACTGTGAGCCACCAGGAAGCAGCACCATGAATGTGCAATTCACAGCACGGCCACAGCGCGGCTCCCTGCTCCTCGGGAGGAAACCCACTCCCCAGCGGTCAGCTCGACTCGGGCACGATGGCGACGCCCTCAGTGGCCCCTTTGCGGGCTGTCTACGGAAAGGGCTGGTGGGAACTCCGGTGCCGCCCGCACCGTTGCCATGGTCTCGGCGTCTCCAGTCCCCACTGACAACTGTTCCACCTGCCACCGCCCCTGTGCTGCGCCCAAGGCCATGCGGTGCCTGGGTCTCCGTTACCCTTCAGTGACAGTCGCCGTCACCCCTGACTTATAAGCTGGCAGCTGCCTGTGTGAGCTGACCGAGAGTCACTGGCTCCTCGGTCCCTCCGGCATTGGGGAAGGCCAAGGGGAGCCAGCTAAGGAGCTCAGGAAGGCTGACGGGAAAGGAACCACCGTCCTGGGCGCACTGCCCATCTGACTGGGCAGGTGGCAGCATCTGCGGACGTGGCCCCCGAAGCGTGGCACCTGCCGGAGCCGGTGTGCCGGCTCCCCGCACACTGTCGGCTCCGCACACTGCACCGTCACCCGGTCCTCCGGACTGAAGTGCAGGGGACAGTTGGGGAAATACTAAAACTGGTGAACTTAACGGCATGTAAAATAAGAACTCAAAGCCTCCATTGTATTGGGGGCATGTGGATTACGTCTGAGAAAAGGGCAGGGGGCCGGCCGGCTCCCGCGGAGAAGGCGGTACCTGGGCTGCGCTGCCGGCAGATCTGCGTGGCCAGGTCCTGCACGTAGCCCGGGAAGTGGTCGAAGCAGGCGCCGTAGGACACCACCTTGATGCCGTGCAGCAGCATGTCGGCCTGGTGCTTGAAGAAGAGGTCCTCGCTCTCCTTGAGCACCACCATGTAGTGCTCCAGCTCCACCTTGTTGGGCACCGAGTACAGGAAGAGCGCCTGGAAGATCTGGTCGCGCAGCGTCTCCCCGCAGCCCACGAACAGGAAGGACCGGGTGCGGTACAGGCTCTGGAACACCTCCTGCGGACAGCGGGGCGAGCTCGGGAAGGCCCACCGCTGCGCCCAAGTCACCCGCTCGGAGCCTCCCGGGGCCCTGAGGACGGGCAGAGGCAGCCCCTCGCCAGGCCCCGGCAACGTCCAGGGCACATGAGCCGAAGTCGGCACAGCCGGCGGCCCACCCTGCCACCAATTCTGAGCTGAGCGCCCGCCCACTCACTGCCCATTTTCTAAATCGTGCACAATTCTAAAACACAAAATAAGGACATGACATGTTGCCCTTCACATCTGCACATGCCACACCTGGAATTAACGTGTCTGGATGGATCACAGACAGACACTTCGGGGGCCAGGAGGCTGGCACCAGGGGACCAGGGTTTGGGGAGTGAGGGCAGCAGTGCTGAGGAGCGGCCAGTGACAGTGGCCCAGGGCGTGGGCACAGGGGAAGGAAGGCTGCACGGAGTCACTCGGGCCTGCAGGGCGCCCAGGCCCAGTGTGGGAGGTGCAGGAGGCGGCCAACCAATGCTTCTCTCTCGTTGATGTTTCTCTCTCTCTCTCTCCCTTCCTCTCTGAAATCAAGAATATATTTAAACCAAAGGAAGAAGGGAGGGAGGGAGAGTGGGAGGGAAGGAATGGAGAGAAGGGAGGGGGGAAAGAGGGAGGGAATGGAGGGAAGGAGGGAGGGAAAGAAGGAAATGGAGGGAGGGAAGGAAGGGAGGGAAGGAAAGGAAGAAGGAAATGGAGGGAAGGGAGGGAAGGAGGGGAGGGAGGGAAAGAAGGAAATGGAGGGAAGGGAGGGAAGGAGGGGAGGGAGGGAAGGGAGGGAAGGGAGGGAAGGAGGAGAGGGAGGGAAGGGAGGGAAGAAGGAAATGGAGGGAAGGGAGGGAAGGAGGAGAGGGAGGGAAGGAAGGGAAGAAGGAAATGGAGGGAAGGGAGGGAAGGAGGGGAGGGACAGAAGGGAGGGAGGAACAGTGGCCAGAGAAGAGCATCATAGACCCTGCAGGCCTGCACCGTCAATGGGAAAAAACTCAACTGCGTCCCTGAGCAGCGTCGAGGACAGTGGGGGAGAAAGGGGGGTCAGGGTGGGCGCTGTTATGAGCCCTCACCGAGCCCCCCGAGCCTGTGCCGTGGCCGCCCGGCCAGGCCCCGGACCGCACAGGCGGGAGCCAGGCCCACCCCGCAGCCTGAGGTCCCAGAGGCAGGGAAGCCTGGAGGTCTGGAGACCAGGCCGCGGCCACGGGAGTCCCAGGGCCGTACCATCACTTCCGGGTCTTGTGTGACGTCCTTGTACCCTGAGGGGTCCAGGACCATCCCGCAGGGGTCCGTGTAGAGGCCGTGGATGTGGAGCACGCCGTACTTGATGTGCCCTCGTGCCCACTGGAGGACCTGCCAGACATGGCGACAGGGAGAAGTGGTGTCACAGAACGGCGTGAGGGAAGTGGCTGAGCTGGATCCGTGGTCTCCCAACCCACTTGGAAGAGGGAGGTGTTCGCACTGACTGTACCTTTAAAGCCTGACGCTACTCTGCTGCGTGTGCTAGTCCCCTGCCCTCCGCCTCAGAAAGCACCTCCCCCTCGTCACACAGGGCTGACGGGGCCGGGCGCGGAGGCCCGGCTCTGTGGCCGGGACCTTTCCGTGCCCTGGCCCTGCCGTCCCCTCCCCAAAGAAGTGAACAGAGAAACGACGAGCACCAGCCACAGCGAGTCCACCCAGGGCTCCGAACAAAGGTCCTCGACAGCCCACGGCCTGCTCGCTCCAGCTGTGCCGGGCTTTCTCCGCAGCAGGCACTGCTGATGACCCAGACAGACGGACAGACAGTAACCGCTCCGACCCAGCACGAGCCGATGGGCGGCCAATCTCCGCTGCCTGCCCTCCTTCATCCCAGACACCATGCTCAGCGAGCAGGCCGCCAGGGGGCCTGGTGGCTGGGACGCAGCAGGTGGTCTGTCCCGAGGGGCCAGGGCACCGGGAGGGTGCAGCACACGGGGGCGGTCAGCCTGTGCCCAGCCCCGGTGCCCGGCCGCCCGGCCACTGACTCGGCCCAGCTGGGGGAGAAAGGCCCCCAAAGGGAAGCTCAGGCCTGACTGGGCCGAGACCTCCAGCTTCCTGAGCACGAGGGGCCCACCCTTCCCTCCCAAAGCGACCAGACAGCACAGCGGCCATCCTGGCCACAGCCACACTGTGAGCCTGCGCACACGCCAAGGACACGGCGTCCGGACAAGTCGCTGAACGGGCTACGTTCAGCCTGCGTGACAGGAAACAAACATGCCACCTGCTCACTGCCCACGGGGGAGGGCATTCCTCTTGCTTCTGAGTAACTAGCACCGGCAGATACGAGAAACAGAACCAGGCGTCCCTCGGACGTTCCGCGGGTTTGGCTGCGATAGCACAGCGCGCAACGACACAGCGCCGCCACGACACGGCGCCCCCACGGCACGGCGCCCCCACGCACGGCGCCCCCACGCACGGCGCCCCCACGCACAGCGCGCCCACGCACAGCGCCCACGCACAGCGCCCCCACGCACAGCGCCCCCGCACAGCGCCCCCACGCACAGCGCCCCCGCACAGCGCCCCCACGCACAGCGCCCCCACGCACAGCGCGCCCACGCACAGCGCCCACGCACAGCGCCCACGCACAGCGCCCCCACGCACAGCGCCCCCACGCACAGCGCCCCCACGCACAGCGCCCCCACGCACGGCGCCCCCACGGCACGGCGCCCCCACGCACAGCGCCCCCACGCACGGCGCCGCAATAAAGCGAGTCGTCCTCTCTACTGGGCCCTGCCTTCACCTGGTAAAGAGCAAACCTGCCGGGCGCAGGGGTGAGGTCTGCCCGCCCTCCGCGGAGAGCGTGGGACGGAACCCGGTGACCTTGCAGAAAACCATTCCGTGACTTAGGTCACCTGTCTTAACCTCGCCACACCCCCGTGGCCAGCGTGTTCCGTGGTTAGTGGCAGCGGTTGACCCAAGGGTCTTGGGTTCCAGTCCCAGCCAAGGGTACATACCTGGCAGGTTCCCTCCCACCCCTGGACAGGGCGCATGGGGGAGGCAACCAGTTAATGGGTCTCCCTCTATCGATGTTTCTCTCTCTCTGCCCCCACCCTCGTGCCTCTCTCTGAAAAACAACATTAAAAACCTTCAGGTGAGGATTAACAAAAAAGGTCATACCCTTTGACCCTGAACCTCTTCTAGGGACTTATGCTGAAGAAATAAACAGTGGCACAGTAGTACAGGATCGTCATTGCAGCATTATTCACCAGCGTGAAATACACTCTAGTACACATGTGTCAAACACAAGGCCCGCGGGCCAAATCCGTCCCGCCAGGCCTTGCAATGTGGCCCGCACCGCGCTGTCATCACTGCACTCCGCTGCGTTTCCATCACAATGACAGTTTATGACTGTTCAGTAAACCATTCGGCCCACAATTTAGGCTGGATTTTAGATTTTGGCCCCTTCTCTGATTGAGTTCGACACCCCTACTCTAGTAAGAGAGGAATGCAGCAATTATACTTTGGTTTTACAATTATATTGTTCTTCAAAGTCATGCTTTTAAAAACAGCTTAATGGAGTTCTGGTCAGGAGGGCAGAGGAGATAAACACTGCTCGCCACCTCCCACGACCACATATAAATTACAGCTCAACTCCACAGCCACAGCCGGAGAGCCACCTGCAGACTCGCTGAGCCAAGGATACAGAGCAGCCGCCATGGCGAGACCATGCCCCAAAGAAATATGACCTCAGAGGCAAACAATTACTTAATTTACAAAATGTAAAAAGCCAATGACAGAAAAATGCTCAGAGTATACCATTCAGGGGAGAAATCAGGATCATTTTGTATGTTGCAATCCCAATTGGCGGGGTTTTTAAAACAAATTAACTGAAATTCACAGCAGTAGGCCTGCGTGCTTCTGCTTCCCTTAGTGACTTCCTACGCCGATGAACGACTGAGGGAGACCCCAGCAGGACGGAGGCAAAGACAAGCGCGGGTGGAGCTCGGGGAGGCGGGCGGAGCCCTGGGGAGCTGCGTGCCGAGGGGCCGGCGCATGGCCAGGCCCAGCGAGGCCTCTGCACACGGCGCTGACCCCGGCCTCTCCCCCCGTCGCTCCCGGCGGCCCTCGCTCACCTTGGCCTTGTCCTTCAGGTCCAGGGACTCCATGGGCCGGTTCTGCTGGCGCCCGAAGAGCTCCAGCAGGTTGTCGTAGTTGGTGGTGAGCACCATGGTGCCGCGGTCCATGAGGCTGAGGATGGGCTGCAGCACCTGCGGCCGCTGGAGGTGCTGCTCCAGGCTGTCGAAGATCTCCATCAGGCAGTCCTGGAAGAAGTTGGGCTTGGTGTCGCCCGTCCGCTGCGGAAAGGAGGCCGGAGTTACCACAGCAGCCTCAGCCCGAGCGCCCACAGCAGCACTCCGGGAGAAGGGAGGGGCCCTGACCGCACGTGACACTACATGCTCCGGGGCAGCTACGCTGGGGCACAGGGTAGGTGGGCCGCAGGCTGGGGGGCATCTGGCAGAGGGGCCTCTGGAGACATCCCAGCGAGGGGAGCACACGCGCAGGCCCTGAGGTGGCAGCACAGGTGGGTCCACAGGTGAGCAAGGAGCCCGCACCGGAGTGAGGGGCTGTCAGCAGGTGCGGTCAGCTGACCCGGAGCCAGACCGCGGGGGGGCTGGGAGACCAGGTAAAGAGCTCCCCTCAGAGCCGCCCACACGGGGTGCTCTTCGTTGGGGTCTAGAAACGGTGTCTCGGTGGCCTCCTCGCTCAGGGGAGTCGGGGTGGCACAGGCAGTGGAGGGCTCAACAGGACCAGGATGGCGCGTGGCCCTGGGGTGGCACCAAGGGTGGCGTGGCCGTGACCGAGCTGCCGCAGCGGAGCCGGTGGAATGGGTGTGGGGAGAAGCGAGCAGCTGGCGGCAGGAAAGCAAACGAGGCCGTGAAAGGCTGTGCTGTGGGCCAGGAGGGTGCCCTCCCAGGAAGACCGCCCTCGCCAGCCACCTGCGCAGGGTGGCCGCGGGCAATGGAGCGGGCTGTGCCTGCGTACGGAACCCTCTGCCCCCCCCCGCCTCTCCATCGCCTCCTGCTCCCGCTGTCCCTCAGAATTCACCTGTCCCTCCCGCTGAGCCCGCTGAGGTCAGCTGTCAGACTCGGGTTATCTCCTGTCCCGTGGCTCCGGGGGTAGGGAGCGGCTGTAGGGTCAAGCCTCGGACTGACCTGAGGCAGGGCCCCAAACAAGACCCGGCTGGAGGGCACAGCCCTCTTAGCATAAGCAAGCTTAATCTTCTAGCTCTCCCAGTTCCCTGCTGGGTCACTAACGGCTGGGGGAGGTGCAGCAGGTGCTGCCAAAGCTGGGTGAAATGTGACCACTTCCGGTGTTTTGCTTTGTGTGCTTGACCATAAAATACAGCCTCGGCTTGCAGGCTGGGTCTGTCCTCACCCAGCACGGAGATCCACCGGGCCCCCGCTGTATTCTCGTCTGTCTTCTTTGATCCTTCCCGCCCCTCCTCAGGCTCACCCTTGCCCGTGCTGGCACGGCACATCTGGGCACTCCCCTGTCTGACCCCCTCCCCAGTTCTGAAAACCCTTCCACTATTCTGGGGGTCTGCCCTCACTGCGCCCCACGCCTCCATCCTCACCGCCTTCCCCACTGACAACGGGCTCTCCCACTCCCTGACCCAGGGGGTGGGTGGCTCCCGGTCACTGTCACCTCCTGCTCCTCCTTCAGCTTGTGCCCAGGGATTCTACGGCCCCAGGCCTCAACACACTCCATCTCTCCTGCCATGAGCTGGCCCATCCCACCATGGCCACTGCCCCAGCCTCACCACTACCCTCTCCAGAACCTCTGCTCAGCCTCTCCCTCCGCCTGCCCGCTCTCTGGCCCCGGCAGCTCCCAGGACGTCCAGCCATCCAGACCTGCAGGCGGGCCCCTGCCCCCACCGGCCTGTCTCTCCCTCGCCAGCCAGCTTCTGCAGGAGCAGCTCAGATCCCACATCACTACAACCACCTCCTGCAGGAGCTTCCACCCCCTGCCCCAGCAAACCCCAGCCCGACTCCCAACTGACTCCCAACCGGCTGGAAACACAGGCTCTGTAAATCTTCACGAAGTTTTCAAAAGTGAAGGGAAGAGAAGAATAAAGCTCACCGCCCGGCCTAAACCAGCAGCAGCCCACCTGGCCTCGCCTCACATGCACCCTCCCTGGACGGCCCCGTCTGCCAGCAGCCCTGCCCCTCTCAGTGCCCCCTTCTGCCCACGACAGGCCTGGCCACTGGCCCTAAGGACCAGGGGGGCCACGCCGGCGCCACGGCCGGGCTCTGGGCCACGGCCGGGCTCTGCGCACAGCGGGGCCCCTGGAGCCGTGCTCAGACAGAAAGTGGGGGCCCCCCCCCCCCCCCGGTGCCCCTCACACAGAACCCACATTCAGCAGACACTATTGGGAACACTCCCCGGAGGCTGGGAAAATGGGCGTGGCCACTGGCGTGGGGAGCAGCCCTGCAGCCGGGCTGCCCGCAGGTTTCCAGGTGAGAAACCAGGAGTGAGCCCGCTAAGCCCGTGGCTGGGCCCCCTCCACAGCAGCCTCACGCTCCTGATGCCCCTTCTCCTGTGCCGGGCCTCCTCCTCCTCCTCCCCCTCCTCCTCCTCCTCGTCCTCCTCCTCCTCTGACCCAGTTCCCAGATGACAGCTGTGCATCTCCATAGACACGGGGGGAGCGGAGCCTGCCCTGGCCCTGCAGCTGGCCCGTATGATGGTGACCGGGCCACACAGCTGAGCAGGGTGACCCTGCCTCTGGCCACCACTCGGCGCAGCCTCCTGCAGCACCCAGCGCTCTCCACGGTCCCGCCCACCTGCAGGCTCCACCTGACTTGCTTCTGGGAACCGCCGTCCCCGCGGACACGGGGCCAGCCCGGCCCAGAGCCTCAGGCCACCCCTCCCTGCGAGACCGGAACCACAAGCTCCGGCCAAGCAGCCGGCGACACGGACAGCTCCAGGGCCCACGCTGCCCGCACCCCCGCGCGGAGGCGGGATTCTGAGGGAGAGATGGCTCCTCAGTGCCCTTCCGAGAGACATGCGGACTCACCACGTGGCCCTGCGCGCACTCACCGGCGACATCTTGCGGATGAGGTCGTGGGCGACGACCAGCAGGTCGCGGTCCTTCTTCACCTTCCTGCGGAACTGGGCGGCGTCCCCGGGGTGCAGCACGTCCAGCTGCTCCGCCGTCTCGATGACGGCCTCCAGGCAGCCGCGCCAGGAGCACAGCGCGGGGATGCCGGGCGCCGCGGCCGCGCTGACGCCCGTGCCGATCACCAGCAGCAGCTCCTGCGGCTGCTTCTGGATGAGGCTCTTCAGGAACTTCCTGCTTGACCGAGGGAGAGGAGAGCCGGCCGGTGAGAGGCCGCCCGGACAGCGGCGGCGCGTCTGGGGAGACCCGCACGGCGCGTGGTCCCGTCGGCCCGGCTGTGCTCAGGCACACGCACCAGCACACACATGTGTGTGCACACATTCATACACGCACAAGCACACACACACACACACACACACACACAGGCGTGTTTCCCCGTTTCCACTGCTGCAACAGGAGGCACTGTTTTCTGTCTGTCCTTATTCCACAGAGGACTTGGGGACGGCAGCATCTTGTTCGAGTCCCAGGGTTAAGCGCCCATGTGAGTGACGTGTGTCTCTCAACAAAAAGCTGGGCCATTTTAATTCCCCGAAGCGGCAGAGCTCGTGAACAATTACCACGAGACAATCCCTGCGCAGACAGAATTCCCAGCAAATCCCTTTAACAGGCCAACCTGGGTCTCGGGCACTGCTCCCTGCGCCAGTCTGTCTGCCGGGACCCCTCACCTGCTCCTGGGAGACCCCCTGACGCTGGAGTGGAGGCCTGCACAGCCCTTGCGACTCCGTCCCACACGGCTCCTCGCCTGCTGGCGACAGAGCCTCACACCTGCACAGGCGGAGCCACTGTGCTTACCTGGACTTCTGTTCACTTTGGTGGGTGGTCTTTTCCAGTGAATCCATCTGTGAACCCTAAAGAGAGAAGGCAGTCAGGGCGGCTCCGGTTCCCAGGTGGACAAAATGCCCAAAACTGTTTCTGTGGCCGCCTGGCCAGTGTGGCCACATGGTGAGAGCACTGGCCCGCACTCCACAGGGGCTCGGTTCGATTCCCGGTTGAGGGCATGGCCCTGGGTTGCAGGTTTGATGCCCGGCCCCAGTTGTGGTACATGCAGGAGGCAACCAGTCGATGTGTCTCTCTCACATCGATGTTTCTTTCTCCACCCTCCCCACATACACACCCTTCCTCTCTCTCTTAAAAAATCAACAACAAAAAATTGTTTTTAGCCGAAACTGGTTTGGCTCAGTGGATAGAGCGTCGGCCTGCGGACTGAAGGATCCCAGGTTCGATTCTGATCAAGGGCATGTATCTTGGTTGTGGGCACATCCCCAGTGTGGGGTGTGCAGGAGGCAGTCGATCGATGTTTCTCTCTCATCGATGTTTCTAACTCTCTATCTCTCTCCCTTCCTTTCTGTAAAAAAAAAAAAAAAAAATCAATAAAACATTTAATTGTTTTTAAATTATTTTTATTTGATTCTCGGTCAGAGCACATACTTAGGTTATGGATTCGATCCAGAGTCAGGGTATGTATGGGAGGCAACCACTAGCTGTTTCTCTCTCACATCAATGTTTCTCTCTCTCCTCCCCCCTCTTTAAAATCAGTAAACACACACACACACACACACATATTCAGGTGATTGATTTTAAAAATAAAAGATTAATTAAAAAATAATGTCTCTAATTCTTTTAATTATTGTTCCACTGCTTTAGATCCTCTAAATCAGGCGTCTTCAAACTACGGCCCGCGGGCCACATGCGGCCCGCAGAGGAGTCTGATCCGGCCCGCCAGGTTTTTTGGGCAGTGAGCGCAGCCGAGGTGTTACAGTAGGAATTAGTAGTTCATATAGTCCGGCCCTCCAGCTCTCTGAGGGACCGTGATCTGGCCCCCACTTTAAAAAGTTTGAGGACCCCTGCGAGTCTAAATATTCATGGTTATATGACACACTGAGAAACTGAACACTGCACTTAGCATCTGCCAAAAGGTGCGAACAATGTAAACTGTGACGGGCTGGATTCCCAGTTTCCCAAAAGAGCCGAGCCCCCAGCGGGCGAGCTTCCGGCCGGCTGCGGGGCACGGCTCCCACCTCTTCCGGGGCCTGAGCTGGAGGCTGCAGCCGGCTCAGCTTCAGACTCTCCGACACGCACTGACGTCACCGGAAGGCTCCGGGCCGCTGTGAAGCACCGTTATCCGCAGCTCAGCTCCGAACGGCTCAGCTGCCCATATTTAGGCATTAAGTCCGCCCCACAGGCCTCTAAAGACATGACCTCATTTCCTGTCCTCCCGCAGCACCATGCCAGAGCCGCGTCTCCATAGAAAGCCTCCAAACCTCCGGTTTGCAAGCCAAGGCCAAGCAGGAGACGCCCCCGCAACGGGCCGGACACTCCACGTTCGGGAAGCACAGCGAGCCATGGGCTCCTATCCAGTGCTCTCGGCCTCGGATTCCAGATAACAGTAACAGAAGCCTCCAGAGACTTTCCGAAGCTGCATCTTCTGGTTTCCTTGGTGATCCTCTTGTCACCACAGCTTGCAGGGCCAGAGCCAAGCATCATAGCAACCCACTTTCCCCAAGAACCCAGTGGCCCTTTCCGGCTGCGCCACGGCCGGCACAGATCGGCGTGAGCAGCTCCTGCCAGAGCCACTCAGGCCAAATAAGTCTAACAGGGAGCCTCCTGCGTCACTGGTGAGGTGAGTATTTGAGAACTAGCTTCCAAGCAGCCTAAGATCGCCTCATTCTTGGAATTCCCAGCCTCCAGCACTAAACAGATGCTCATCTAACCGAGCCCCGAAGCAGAAGGGTAAACCACAAACCCCAGACTTGTCAGTAACAGCTGCAAAACCCAGCCCTGCCCTCCACGCCCTAACCCAGTGCTCACCACTACCGCCTGGAAACCACACCCTGGTATGGGCCCCTCACCCGGACTAGGCTCGGTCAGGTGACCTCTGTGGCCAATGGGACATCAGCAAGGAAGCAAGAGTTTGGTAAGCGCCTTGCCCAGGTGTCAGCTTGGGCTCTGAAGGGCCGTGGGTTCGATTCCCAGTCAAGGGCATGTGCCTGTTCAGAGCGCATGCAGGAGGCAGGCAACCAGCCACGGTGTCTCTCACATCAATGTGTCTCCCTCCCTCCCTTTCACTCTCTAAAAATGGAGAAATATCCTCAGGTGAGGATTAAACCACAAGTTTGATAAGCTCTCTGCCCTCCGGGCAGGGTGAGCCAGAGGTGACCGCCGGCACCACCCATCCAGCCACCAGCCGGGGACACTCACCACCCCACCCCACAGCCCTGAGGCCTGGAAGGATGAGGAAGGAAGACAAGAGTGTCAACACACGCTAGTGGCCCATGTGAGGAACACATGCTGCTATCAGTATATGTGCACGGGAGGTACCAGTTTTAAGTGTGACCTATGTAACCGGTGACCTTCCGTCCTTAAAGGAGCCGTGCCCATCAACTGGACTGGACCACCAGGTCGGGAAGCCTGGAGCCATGGAGCAGGCACTTCCCAGCAGCTCCTCCTCCCCAACTGACGCTGCAGGCCTCCACACCACGCCCCATCCCTCGGCTGGATTCCCACAAACTGCCTTCTCCAGGCGATCCATTCGGGAGGGGCCCGGAAGCGGCAATCACCGACCAGCACGCTCTCAACCCCCAGGGCCCCCCCACACACACACCCCCCGGGACACGGGATAGCTTCAGGGCCTTGGGTCAGCAGGACTGGCTGCACCTGCGCTGGGAACAGGTGCTAACGGGCCAGAGGACACAGCAGGAAGCCTCTCTGAACCTGTTTCCCAATCTGTCCAACGGGAAGTCCGCCGCGCACATCACTGACGCGGGTGGGCAGACGTAGGGCTGAAGGTAAACGTCCGCCTGCCGCTCCGGCTGCTCCTCCCTCGGCTGCAGCCGCTTCCCACCCCAACTTCCAACTCCGGCGTCACCAGAACTGCTATTACCTCGTTCACCCGCTTTCGGGAGGGAGGGGGAGCAAGAGCACACGGGGAATAAATGGAGGTGGAAAAACAATTTTAAAAAATTTAACCACAGCCCTGGTAAAACGTAACCCCTTCAATTTACAGAAAACACAAAACCTTAATTTGAACCCATGCTACGGAGCTGACCCGTCACTGAGTGATGAACTATGATGGGGGGCTCATCTTGTAAGAACCGAAATGTGCTCACTTGCTTCTGGAAACCAGTGCCTCCACAGTGGCTTGGGCATAAATGCTCACACCAAGAAAATAACAAAATTATGACTAAAAAAATGTAAAGGTCACGGCTTAGTTCAAAAGGCGACATTGCTTACGGCACGTGGCGCCCTTGCGGGAGGGAAGAGAAGGCGCTGAGCAGGTTCCAGCCTCCCTCCTCCCCGCCCCCTGCGGACCTGGGAGTGCTCACCACGCGGGAGCCGCCACGCGCTTCTCCGGTGCGGTGCGGGCAGACCGGCACACAAAGCCGTGGCGTTCACCAGGCGCCCTGCCAGGCGGTAGATCATTAACCGCTCACAGCCTGTCCGCCGGCTCTGCCCGCACAGTTCAAACAGACGCGTTCCGGAGCGATAAGCCAATGAGGGTCAAACACAGCAATTCAGGCCGGCACTCAGCCGCTCCAGTACCCTCCGACCCAGCTTACAGGGGCATGTCCCGGAGCCCGAGGTGATGGGGTGCCAACTGCCCTCATTCAACAGAGGGGACGCTGGTCCCCCAGGAGTCAGGCCACTCGCTCCTGTCCCGCCACCTGCCACCACGCTGGCACTCATCCCTGGTCCCGGCGCCTCCCACACACCCCGCGGCCCCCCCGACGCGCTTCCCACCACGCGGCCCCACAGACAGCTCTGGGGCCCGTCACCTGGCAGCTCGCCCGCGGTCTGGCTGCCCTGGGTCCCATTCACTCTCCAACCTGAGCAAGGCCCGGGGCTGGCAGGGGGGAGGCGTCGGACAGTTTTCTGTTTGCTCTTCGCATTGCCAGCGCCTCAGCAGGGGACAACTGAGGGGGCCGGCGGGAGCAATGGCACTCGGGGCTGCCCTCCTGGCCAGCCCCCCGCTGCTGGGGCAGGAAGTGGGGTCTCCTTGAAAGAGCCCGGCCCTAGAAGCTCAACGAGCCGGACACCCTGCCCCTCCCAGGAGGATCGGAGACACCAAGAGGGGACGTTAAAAGAACAAGGCGAGAGCAGCCTGCTTCCCCCAAGCCCTTTGCATTTGAGAATTCCGTTCCCAGCCACGCTGGTCACATTTCTCCCGCGTGAGAGCCTCGCGGAGCAGACCCGGCCCTGCATCAGCTCCATCCCGGGAGCACCCCCGTGAGCACCCCACTCCCCCTCCCTCACCGCGGCGACGGCGTCTCCTGCCCCACACCGGCCGCTGCTCCCGGCCCCCCAGCGGTCCCCCTGCCTCCGGAGGGACGTCCCAGGTCCTCGGGGCTTTCCCAACGGCCCGGCAGCCTCAGGACCCTGCCCGGCGCCTGCACCTCCTGTGAGGGGTCGCCCTGGGGCGGCCCTCTGGCATAAAGACACCCGGGGGGAACGAACGCTGGTGGCAATGCCGAGCGCTGCGGGCTCAGGCAGGAGAGGACGCACCCTCTCGGTCCGGACTTGGCGCTGAGCTGAGCCTTGAAGCCCAGGCCCCCGCTGCCCAGGTCACTGCCGCCTCTCCCGGGCCTGCTCCCTCCGGCCATCCCCTGCACCCGGACAGGAGCACCACACCGCCCTGGCCTGCGTGGCTCAGTGGGCAGAGGGCTGGGCAGAGGGCTGAGGGGTCCGGTGCATTTCCCGTCCAGGGCACTAACAGTGCAGGCTGGTCCCCGGCCCTGGTTGGGGTGTGTCCAGGAGATAACCAATGGATGTCTCTCTCTCACTTAAATGTTTCTCTCTGTCCCCCACCCCGCACCCCCCAACCCTTCCACTATCTTTAAAAATCAATGGAAAATATTCTGGGATGAGGATTAACAACACAAGAACCATCGTCACTCCCCTCCTAAGCCCTCCTCCTCCGGTCTTGGCTCCCTGGCCCACCTCACCCCCTGCACCCTGTCTGCAGCCTCTCCTCGGACCCTTCCCTCGCCCCTCCACGCCAGCCCGCTCCCTTCCCCCTGAGGCCTGCCACCGGCTCAGGGGGTAGAAGCCACAATTCAACCAAGGGCCGGGGCACGGGCTCAGGAACCACGCTGCCCCGTTAGTTCCACCCGGAGAACCTTTCCCTTCGGGAGGCCACCCCGCTCCGGCACTCACCCCGGATGGAGCCGTCTCCGAACCTCCTTCCTGGTGTCCAACTCCCTGCCCCGCCGTCCCCTTCGCCTGGGGGGGCCCCGGCAGACCTCCTCACCCGCAACCTGCAGGCATCAGCTCACCCCTTACCCGCGCTCCCCCAGGAGCCCTCCCACAGCCTCCGGAGGACCACCCCTCCCCGCACCGTCATCACCGCACAAAACTACCTGCTCCCCCCCCGCCCCCCAAAGAGGCCCCGAGGGGGCTGCGCTGCCTCCGAGTCCACTGTCCGGCGGCCACAAAGCTCGCTCCGGAGGAAAGGAGGCGCCTCCCGCACCCTCACGCCCTCACCGGCTCCTCCGGGCGGCGGGACGCCCCGCCAGGAGCATTAAAAGTTAAACACTCCGGCCTCCTCCTCCGGCGACTGTAAACACGGAGGCAAAGGCGGCCCGAGAGCCGCCCCGCGGGGTAACCGGGGGCCGGGTGACCCATTAACGCCTCCGCCTTTATTCCATCACAAAGCCCGGCTCACACGTCCGCTCCGGACAACGCCCGGGTCCGAGCCCGGGGCGGCGGGGCGGCCTGGGGCGGGGCCGGGAGGCCGGGAATGTCTCGGGGCCCGGAGCGCATCCTTGGGGGGTTCCCGGAACCGAGGGACCGGGGACCGCGGGCCCTGACGGGCGGGAGGTCCGGGACCTCGGAGTCTCGGGAAAGCCTCAGGGTTCGGGGTGCGACGAGTCCGGAGCGGCCGGGGGCCCCGGCCGCCGGGAGGCTCGGGCTGGGTTCGGAGGGAAGGGGGAGCGGCAGAGGGAGCCAGGCCCCGGGCCCGGGCTGGTCCCCGCCCGCCTCACCTGCGCCGCCGCCTCCAGCTCCGGGCGCCGGTCTCCTCGGGGCGGGTCTCGGCGGTGCCGGCGGCCGCACGCCCGGCGCTGGGCGGGGCGCGGGGGCGGCTGCGCGGTGGGGGCTGCGCGCGCACCCGGGCACCGCGGAGCGGACGCCGCGCCGCCCTCCGCCGCGACTCCCACGGTGCCGGCCGTGGCGCCGCCGCAAACCTTCCCCCGCGCGTCCGCCCGCCGCGCGAAGGTTCCGCCCCCAGCAACGGTCCTGCGGGGGCGGAGCCAGAGCGCGCCCCGCCCCCGGCCGCCGGCCCCGCCCAATGAGGCCCCGCCCCAGTGAGGCCCCGCCCCGAGCCGCCCGCCCGGCCCCCTCGGACACAGGCGCAGGTGCGTCCCGCGTGCGAAGAGACCCCGCCGTCTGAGCCTGCGTGTGAGCCCCACGTCCCCCCTCTCTCCCCGGCCCAACCCATCGGGCTCCTCATCTGCAAAGGGGGGGCGGCATCAGTTGCGATCCGGAGCGCCCCTCTGCAGCGTCCCGCGCCGCCCGGCTGCCCACAGACCCCTGCCCTCCTCACATTGCCATCCCCTCCCGCAGCCCGCGTTCCTTCCTTTCAGAGGTCTTTTCTCTGGATGCAGTACACTGGTTTTCTCTCTCCCTTCGAGTGGGAGCCGAGATCTTGTCCGTCAAGTCCACCCCTGGGTCCCCAGAGGCCAGGACGGGGCAGAGCACACAGGATGGGTGCAGAGCACAGGCGGGTGCCTGTTTATGACAGCGTGAGTGTCCTCCTTGTGTGCAGCGCTCATTCGAAAATCCTCTCCCTCCCAGGCTGGTATGGGGTCAGCGTGGGTCTGGACCCGTCAGACCCTATGACCTGTCGCCTATCAGTGCCCAAGTTCCCGCCTCCCCGGAGGCTGAGAGGAGAGGGCCTCGGCGCTGGGCGGGCAGGTGGGTCAGTGTGCCCCGTGGTCCCATCATCCTCGTGGCTGCCTCTGCCCCCACTCCGCCCTGGAGCAGCCCTTCCTGGTCTGGATCAGAAGCCACTTCCTCTGCCCAGCTGCCTGGGCTGCCCTCCCGCCCCGCCCCGCCAGCAGAACGCGGCTGTTTCCTGTCTCCTTAGCACATGCATCCCTGCCTGGCTTACAAAGTGGCTGTTAACACCCCCAGCTCACACGGAAGCCCCCCGTTTGTGAGGGGAGCTGTGCTGGGGAGCTTCGGCAGCCTGTAAACTGGGGGCCTGGAGCCCAGAACCCTGAGGGGGGCAGTGGCTGGGTAGTGAACAAGGCAGACCCGCTTCCTGTGTGGGCAAGGCTCTTCCCTTCGCACTTGGCACGTGTTCCTTCATTTTGTCCTGGGACGACCCTCTGAGGAAGGTGCCAGCCTTATTCCGATTGACAGGAGGAGGCTGAGGCCCTGCAAGGCTGCCCAGGCAGCCCCACATTTACCCACCACTGCACACAGCTCGCCGTGCCCTGAGTGCTGTGTAGATCGTACACTGTAGATCGTCTTCACCCGCTCTGTGCTGTCACGGCCCCAGACCCGCAGGAGGCTGCCGCGTGGGCCTCGGGGAGCATGGCCCAGCGTGGCAGGCGCTGGCACAGCCCAGGTGGCAGAGCTGGAGGTTAATCCGGTCAGCCCCAGCGCAGGCTGGAAGGCTGACCCTCCCCCAGACACTCAGCCAGAGCCATGGAGGACAAGCCAGCAGAGGGGCGCCTGAGGGACACGCCCCCTCCCCCATGTCCGCGTGAGACGCAGCTTCTCTCACGCTGTGGAAAATTACCGAGAGGCCCCGCCACCTGGCCGCCGTGAGCTCTCCGAGGAGATAAGGGGCCGCGGCACACGGTGCTGAATGTGAGGGTGTAGGTGTCCCTGCCCAGCCCCCCTCCAGCTGGCACAAGCGCCTCTTATCCGTGTCCTGAATGAACAAAGAGTGAATGTGTGTGTGCTGCCCAGAGAGGCTGTGTGTGTGTGTGTGTGTGTGTGTGGAATGACATGCTTGTGTGTGTGTCTGTGTGTGTTTATTGAGCACCTACTATGTGCTAACTTCTTCATCTTACCTCCCCCTCACCCTCACTGTATGCAATAGGTGTTGTTTTTTTAAATATATATTTTATTGATTTTTTTACAGAGAGGGATAGAGAGTTAGAAACATCGATGAGAGAGAATCATTGACCCGCTGCCTCTTTCACACCCCCCACTGGGGATGTGCCCGCAACCAAGGTACATGCCCTTGACCGGAATCGAACCGGGACCTTTCAGTCCGCAGGCCGACGCTCTATCCACTGAGCCAAACCGGTTTCGGCGCAATAGGGGTTGTTATTCCCATTGGACAGACGGAAGAACAGAGAGGACTGACCATGCCAAGGCCCAGCTGCAAAGTGGCAGCGGCCTTGCTGGCAGGGGCAGGGAGGAGGGCAGCCTCTGTGTCCCTTGGAAAGTCTGCCTGGCCCTCCTCCCCCAACCTCGGGTCGGCCCGCACCCCAGCCCACCAGGCCCACCCGCGCTCCAACTCAGCCCTCCTCACTGGGCCTGCAGGTCTGCAGCAGGCTGCCCGGAGGTCTCCGCTCACCAACCCGCACCCGCCTGCCCCACCCACCCACCCCACCCCGCCTTGCTAAGGCCGGGCACAGGCAGGAGCGCCCATTGTGCCAGCAGCTGACAGTGGAGATGGGGCACACAGTCCCCACGTGTGCCGGGCATGATGAGGCCGTAAAGAGAAAGCTGGGTGAGGGACGGACACTTTTGGGAGATGCCTGGCAAGACACAGCCTGGGAGATGTTTGCAAAGTCCTCACGGGTAACACTACAGGCAGCCGATCCTGTAAAAACGGGCCACACTGTGAACACAGTCATCAGAGAATTTACAGACTCATCCAAGGGGCATAGAGTCTGCCCCCCCCCCCCCTCCCACCAGCAAAGCCTTGGGCTATGCCACACCCCCACCTGTTGCCCAGCAACCACCTCACAGTCCTTCCAGCCGCCTGCCCAGCCCCCGGAGCATCGGAAATGTGATAGGGGATGTGTGTGTGTGTGTGTGTGTGTGTGTGTGTGTGAGTGTGTGTGTGTGTATCCAACGGGCTTACCTAACTCCCTCTCATTAGGATGGCAAATAAGACCCCGAAAAGAGGCTCAACGTTGGTACACAGGGGGCACCGCACCCTAAACGCCAGGGAGGCGATTCGCACACACACTGCAAGGCCGGAGTCTGGCCACCCCAGCCCTGCTTGGGCGGGACCGCTGGTGGGAACGTGAAGTGGCCCCCTACCCCCCATTGGAAGGGTTAGACCCACGGTCGGCAAACTCATCCGTCCACAGAGCCAAATATCAACAGTTCAACAATGGAAATCTCTTTGGAGAGCCACATTTTTTAAACTTAAACTCCTTCTAACGCCACTTCTTCAACATAGACTGGTATTTTGTGGAAAAGCCACACTCAAGGGGCCCAAGAGCCGCATGTGGCTCGCGAGCCGCAGTTTGCCGACCACGGGGCTAGACCAAAGCAGCGAGGACGCCCAGTGCGGTGAGGGTGCCGGACCGCGGGCCGCCGGGGCTGCTGGCAGGAGCGGAGAAGGCCCTCTGCCAGGAACCGCCTGCAGTTCCCTCCTAAGTGCCGAGCCCCGGCCGTCGCAGCACCAGGGACCGTCCCAGGACCACGGGGCCCGTGTGCACCTGACTGCCTTACACGGCTGCTCACAGGCGCTGCCGTCACGGTCGCCCCACACTGGAGACCCCCGGCCTGTCCCGTAGCCGATGGTTCACGGGCGGGCGTGTCTGTCACCGGATACTACCCACCCGTGAAAGGAAGGTCGTCCTGATGCTTGCGACACTCGACGGCCCCCGGGGAAGCTGGGCAGAGGTTGCGGACGGTGTGACCGCAGTTCTGTGACGTTTTGAAATGAGGAAATTGTAGAGATGGGGGGCGGATCCGTGATGGGACAGGGGCTGGGGGAAGGGTGGGTGTGAGCCTTGCAGTGAAGGGCCAGTCAGTGCTTGCCTGTGGTGGTGACACCGACCACAGCGGCAAGATTGCAGGGAGACACACGCGTGTTGGCAAACAGGGAACTCGGAAGCAGGCCTGTGGGCAGCCGGTCGGTTTCCTGGTTGTGCTGAGCTGAAGCTCCGGTTACGAGAACTGTTGACAGTCAGGAGACGGGGTGAAGGCTCCACGAACCCCCCCCCGCCCCCCGCCCCCCGCACACTTTCTGCAATCTCCTTCGAACCCATCACTACTGCAAAGCCAAGTTGTTGTTTTTAACGACGCAGTCATGTTGGAAAACAATCTGGCAGTTTCTTTAAGAAATGAGTCAGGCCCCGGCCCGTCTGGCTCAGTGGATAGCACGGGAGGAGGCGGCCTCAGCACCTGGGCGGGAGCTGCGGCGATGGCCGCTGTGGGGTTTATAATTAGACGTTCCTGCGCAGCCAGCCTGGCACCCACCCACCCACCGCCCACCAGCTTGGCTCAGTCTGCAGAGCTGGTTACAGCTGCTTGGAAGTCGGCAAAGGCTATTGTCCCCGCTTCCTCCCCACCGCCCAGGGCCCAGTCGCCCCCTGCGGAAGGCGGTGCCGCCTCTCCCGGTGCCCCTCTGAGTGGCAGCCCCAGCGACAGGGACCGGTGGTTGCTGGAGGGGCTGCTGGGGGTGGGGTGGGGGACACTGAGTCTCAGGGGCAACGAGGTTCTGGGTCTGAGGAAGCCAACAGATGCCGGGGTCAGGGGTCACCCAAGGAGCTTCCTGCCTTCGGGTCCCCATTGCCAGGCCCGAGGCTGAGGAGCCTGGCTCTGCCCTCTCGGCTGGCACCCTGAGGGGGCTCGCCGGGCCAGGCTTCAAACACCCTGTGAGCCAGAGAAGGCCTGGCTGGTGCTGCCGCTAATGGCAGGTGCTGAGCTGGTGGTGGGGGAGGTATCACAGAAGAGGATCCGACCTTGAACCTGCCCTCCAGTCAGTCTCGACCAGGGTTCCCAGCCTCGTCTTGGCCATGCCCCCCCCCCACCAGCATCTCTAAGTCCTGATGTCCCCTCATCCCTGCCGTGACACGGAATTCTCATCATTCAAAGTGACTCCTATTCATGGAGCTCCCGAGAGGCATTCGCTTGGTCCGAACAGGCTTCCGGAGAACACGGCTCCAAGGAAGAGAAAAGCAAAAGAACGAAAGGACAGTGAAGTCCTGAGGAAAAATCACTAAGAAGTTGTTAAAAATAATATC